AGACACTATGATGACACCAGGCAAATCTTCCAAGACACCTATCGTCGGGAATCTAACAACCCTAACGTTTCATCTATCACAACAACATTTGGTTGCGTCTCATTTTCAAGGAATGCAATGCTTGAAAATGTAGTACCAAGATCGATACCTACACCAATCATTTAAAAATATAGATGATGGAAATTTTCAAAAAAAAATCATGCAAAATAAAGCATGATTTCGTATGAATTACAGCAAAAATCTGATGTAAATGCAAGTAAGAATGTAAGTATCAATGGACGTCAATATATTTTTGATTTTCCTTGTGATGATACATCAATTTGCACAGACTATGTTGTTAGATTACCACGAGGCACATACAAATTTGAATTGTATGGTGCAAGTGGCGGTAGTGCAAGAGGGAAAGTTTCATCATATAGATATGAAAACAAAAGTTGTATTTCAGAAGAAACTGTAAGACTCATGCATGGTAACACTGAATGCATTCAGCAAGATAGTATCGGCGGTGCTGGTGGATATTTATCAGGTACTATCACTCTTAAGCATCCTACCCTGTCGTATTTTACCATCGGTGGTAAAGGTGTCTTCGGCTACAAACCAGGTTATATGACTGAAGAAGAAAATTTCCAGAAAGAAAATATGCAACCAGGTGGGTATGGTGGTGGAGGAAGTTCTTCCAATTATTTTAGAGGAACAGGGAGTGGAGGCGGCCAAACCACTGTCAAATTTATTGAGAATGATCTTTGGCATCGCGTTTTAGTGAGTGGTGCTGGAGGGGGAAGTGATGACTACAATGCAGATGATGGAAGTGGTGGCGCAGGTGGAAATCTTGTTGCACAAGGTTGGTTCTTTAACGGAAATTATGTCGAAAATTATTTGGCAAATTCCACATTCGGGTTTTCATTTGGTCAAGGAGAAGCTGCTCGTTATGGAAGTACTAAACATCCTCATGCTGTACCTACAAGCACTAATACAGATATTGGAGGTGCAGGTGGAGGATGGTTTGGAGGATTTTCTTCTCAGTCTGGATCGGGAGGTGCAGGCGGTGGTTCTTCATTTGCATTGACAAAAGATGCTATTATTCCTCAAGGAAATATTTCTGCTTATGATGAGTTTTATAATTTAATTGATTCTAAACCGTATTCATTTAATTTAAACTCAGAATTCCTCTTCAAAGATGTTATTCATATCCCTGGTATTTGGGAAGGCAACGGACGACTTATTATTACAATTCTTGACTCAAAATTATTTATATCTTGTAATATCATTTCTCCAATCTACTTCAATCCAACATTAATATTTGGATTGATTGAATCATAAAATTTATATAATACACAATATTTAGATATTTTTTAGTCATATTAATATGATAACATATAAAAAAGAAGTCATTAGATTTCCTAAAAAGTTATGGTTGCAGGAACATTTAGGAGGATCATATAAATCAGTTATACAAGAAAAGTTTCGATCCGTAATGACCTTTTTTAAAAACTGAGTTGAATCAGGTGGATAATTTGAAGAAACATGTATTCGAACAGATTTTGATGAACCAACTTGTGCATTTATTGCAGTTGGACCACAGTAATAGATATCATCGAAATAACTTCCATCAAGGAAATAATAACTAACAGATTTTAAACTAAATGGCAAAACAATAAATTTTGCTGCGATACCTGAAAATGCATACTGTTCTATTGTTTGAATTGTTGATGGTAATATTAATATTTTAAGTTTATTACATGAATAAAAAGTTGCATCATATAATCTATTAACTTGAAATGCACTTATATCAGCATACTCAAGGTTTTGGCATCCTCTAAATATATATGGACCAATTTTTGATATTGTTTGCCTCATTGTAAAACGAGTAAATGATGATGAACTAAATCCTCGTGCAGATGATATTTCTGTTACAGTATCAAGAATGTCTTCATAACAATTTGATGGATATCCAACTAATACAGTAAAATCGCTATTATATAAAACTTTATTTTTTACTACAAAGTTAGGACTATTAGAAAAGAATTCTTCAAGGTAAAGACAGAAGACAAAAGCACCACTATCTATGGTTTCCAATGCCTGAGGTAACGTGATATTTTTCAATCTCGTATAATAAAACATGTGGGTTGGAATTCTTATCAGTGTTTCAGGTAATATAACATGTTCCGCCGTTGAAAAGAAAAAATGATAGCTATCGGTGAAATATTGAAATTTACAAGATGAAAAATTAACAAATTGTATGTTTGAGTATGTAAATGCTTGACCTTTTATTGTTGTTACTGCTTCAGGAATGTATAATTCGTTGATTGTAAAACTATTGAAACAATACTTTCCAATTGTTGTAAGACTTTTTGGTAGTATTAACATAGAAAGAGTACATCCATTGAATGAATTATTTCCAAGGATAGTAACCGGTTTAGAGTCAATTGATGAAGGAATTGTTAATTCTCCTCTGTAACTTTTAGAGATACATGGATTGATCCCATCACCAATTTGGATATTATCTGATCCATATAATACGAAGGTGATGGGTGTCTCTGATTCTTGATAGATGCTTATCTAAACTAGGTTACATTAACATCAAATAAATAAAAGTTTTATTTTATAAATGGTTTGCTAGATAGTTGTATTTATGCTTGTTTAATTTTGCCATAATTATATATTTTCGAAAAATTCGATTTCGAATGATTGATTTCTTATGAATTAGAAGATAAATCTTTATCTGGAGCAGCTATTAATGTTACACATAATGATCGAAAGTATATTTTTGATTATCCTTGCAATTCAACGTCTGTTTGTACAGACTATATTATACACTTGTCTCCAGGGACATACAAATTTGAATTATATGGTGCAAGTGGTGGGTCATCCAGAGGCAAAGTCTCATCCTATCGAGATGAAAACCGAAATTGCATTCCATCGCAAATTGTTTCCCTTCTTGGGGGCAATGCAGAGTGCTTCCAAAGTTATAGTCTTGGTGGCGCTGGCGGCTACCTTTCAGGAAAAATATTCATTCAGCACTCTTTGACATCATTTGCAACAATCGGAGGCAAAGGTTCATTTGGACATAAAACAAATAACCGCGAAACAAAAGATTGCTTTGAGAAAGCAAATATGCAACCAGGTGGATATGGTGGAGGAAGCTCTGCTAACTTTCCATCTGGATCGGGGAGTGGAGGTGGTCAAACCGCTGTCAAATTTCATGAAAACGATCTATGGCATCGTGTTCTTGTGAGCGGTGCTGGTGGTGGTTGTGATGATAGTCAATCAGATGATGGCAGTGGTGGTGCAGGAGGAAATTTAACTGCACAAGGTTGGTTTGCAAATTCTGTCATGAGTAACTCGTATCTTGCAAATTCAACATTTGGATTTTCTTTTGGCCAAGGAGAAGCTGCCAGATTTGGACAACCACCACCAAATAACTCTCTATCCGTTAAGAGTAGCTCAAATACTGATATAGCTGGTGCTGGTGGTGGGTGGTTTGGCGGTTTTTCTGCTCAAAACGGTTATTCAGGTGCTTCAGGAGGATCTTCATTTGCATTGACGAAAGATGCAATTATCCCTCAAGGAAATATTACTGCATCAGATGAATTTTATAATTTAATTGATTCCAAACCATATGCATTTGATTTGCATAGTGAATATCTTTTCACAGAAGTTGAACATATGCCTGGAATCTGGACAGGGAACGGACGACTTATTATTACAATTCTTGATACAAAATTCTTTGTGTCATGTAAAATCATGTCTCAAATACATTTCAATTTTGCTGTAATTTTAGAATATATAATAACATAATTATATCTAAATTAATATTTTAGCATTTTAACAATGATTTAAGGGTGCACCCGTATGTACGTTTATTTGAGAGGAGGAGGATTACCCTCTCAATTTTGAGGGATTCGTTAGTTTATTTTCTCGATGAATATGCAATAAAATTTGATTTTTACCTTATCAATATACTTCATATAATATACACATGTTCATGTAAAAACTTTTTCCCAAAATCCTCAGTAGGGTTGTTAAAAATATCAAAAATTAGCGTTTTGAAGACACCATGGTGTCTTATAATTTTCCCTTCCTTATTGGCGTGTAGAAATAAATGCGCCAATAGATTGAAGAAGAAGAATTGTTTTTCTCTTAATGAACTTTAATCCTTTTGATATAAGAATATTAAAAACATTAATATAATTTCGATTTCGGAAATTAAATTTCCAAATTTTTTGTCGATTTCGGAAATAACAGGATCCCGCATCCAACACGCAACAACAAAACATAAAACACACTTTTTGGTTCTTTCATCGTTTTAATCGTAATTTATGTAATACATGATTTGGATAAATTTTACAAAAATAGAACCTATATTATATTCTTTTCAAAGATTCTTGCAAATCATCAAAAATAATTGTATTTTAAAAAACGATCAAATTATCCTTTCATTATTTTAAACTTAAATTAGTTTTTATGATTGACTAAAGCAATCATATTTATTCATCATTAAAAAAAAAAAAGGGTAGTGGGGCCTCCAGGCGCGTTGCGCCCTCTAGCCCTGAAGATGTTTAGTATAATGAAGTTTTTTTTTTTTTTTTCTTGGGATGGCCTTCCAGGCGCGTTGCGCCCTCTAGCCCATAAAAAGTTTTTGAGAGTCGTCGCCGTTGACTTTTTTGTAGAGCACTCAAAATAGTATAACTTTGTCCGGACAAGTAAGGGTCTATCGTCGCTACAGGAAAAGTTACAGGCGTTCCAAGGAAGTATACTTTGAGAAGCCTTTTCTCCATTTTAAAACAAGATAGGACGGTTATTTTACAAAACTGACAACACTTTGACCGAGTAGTTTTTTGTGCTGAACAAAAAGTGTCATATAAACATCTGTCAAAAACCGCTTTTTAACTTCACTTAAAATGCCACGTAAGCTACGTAAGAATATACGTAAGAGGAAGAGAGCATTGAAACATCCAATAGTAAAACTGACACCACAACAACAGTTGCAACAACAAATGATGAATGACCCCACTATGTTGCAACAAATGTCAAGCAACCCTATGCTTTTAAACCGAGTTATTGGTGCACAGAGTGGAGGTTTAAGAGCGGCACTTTTAGCGAAAATGGCAGGCTATGGTGGAGCTGCAGACGGAACAGCTTATAACCCTCAAAGTCAAATGAATTTGAGTTCACTCAAAAATCAAATAACAGATGTCAAAAAGTCAAACATAGACATACAGAAACAAATAAGTGAAAACGAAAAGAAACTAGAATATGACAGACACACAAAGAAACTAAATGAGTTAAACGTAGAGAAAAAGAAGAAAGAAGAACAACTGAAAGAACTAAGTACAGAGGAATATGCGAAAAAAGTGTCAGAAAAAGCAGCAGAAGTAGCAAAAATGGAACAAGATGTTATAAATTTGAAAAACCATACTACTCAATATAAAGTACTGAAAGATGAAGAAATAAAACAAAAAGCCCTGAAGACATATATGGATAGCGATGAGTATAAAAAAGAAGTTGAAGCAAATGTAAAGGCAGAAAAACTTTTACAGTTGCAAAACCAAACCGTACAGTATGAAAACTTAGCACAAGAAAGTAAAAATAACGACGCAGCCATGCAAAAGGCAATGAAAAGCTCAGAATATATAAAAGCTAATAATGACTGGTTAGATGCCCAAGCCAACGCCAAAGCAGCCCAACTTATAGGGTCAATAAGGACAAAAATACAAGCGGATGAAGACAGTTCAAATGAAGCTTTAATGAATGCTGACTTTAAGAACGCCTTCGAAGCTCTTCATAGTAAGGTGAAACTAGTGAACGACTTCTCATCTGGAAAGAAACTGAAGTCTGAAGGTTTCGACAAAGAGTTAAGAGAAGTAGCACAAAATATGACGAAAATAACAGATGCAGCAACGAGACAGGCAGTTCAAAGTGCCTATGACGCCGTTAGAGCAACTGTTGTGGAAAGTCAAGAAAAAGAGTTACAACAGACCAAAACAGACCTAGTAAATGCTTTCTTAAGAACGAAAAGTCAGGTAGGACATTATGCTGCAGATGGAACATATGTGCCAGCTGGTGGAACTTATATACCAGCTGGTGGAACTTATATACCACCAAACCCTCCAAGAGAAGCACCTGCACCAGGACTACCTAAAACATTTACATCGTCACATGGACACAGACACAGGCATGCACCAAAACCAACACAACAACCAACAGTTCAAAATCCAGCACAACAACAACAACCAAAACCAACAGTTCAAAACCCTGCACAGCAACCAACAGTTCAAAACACTGCACAACAACAACCACAAACAGAGCAAGGACATAAAAGAAGTAGAGAACAAGGAAACCAAGAATTCTTAAAAATGCTTAAGGAAAATTATGGTTACCCAGATACTCTTGACTTTAGTGACAGATATAAAGAAGCTATTAGAAAGTTCAAGGAAGGAAATACTGACCCGAACCTATTTAGCTTATGGTTCAGCACAAATGGGATATAATTTCAAACCTGGAAAATACAAGCTCGCTAAGGGATATGATTTAATAGCATATCATCCAAATGACATGACTGAATTTACTCCGAGATATTTGGTGTCAGAGCTAAATGATAATTCAACTCTCTTCATGAAACGCGTAAAAAATAGAGACGGAACGAAAGAAGAAAGGTTTATGAGTCCGGATGACTTAATAGGGAACTTTTTAAAAACGGTCTCGGAATATATGAAATGCCAGCAGATGAGGTACAAGAAACTCCACAGGAAGAAGTTCAGATACAACCAGACATGGAAGAAATAGTTCAGCAACAACAGCTAGAAGAGCCTGAAGGAAACGAACAAGTCCCTCCTTTGGAAACTAACTTCACAGAACTAGATGAAGATTTGGAACAGCCGAAAAATCTTGACCCTCAACAAGTGTATGCGGGAATATGGAATCTTTCCAAGAGTCTAAGAAAAATTCGGCTGACATAGTAGAAGAATATCGAAAAATGTTCGCCGACATACAAAAGACTCCAACATCAGATGAAAATATTCAGCATAGAATGGAAGTACTGAAAGAAAGTGTACGCAAATACAACAATCCTTTTTACTTACGACCATATAACGTTCAATCTTTGGCTGAACTCGGTGAAAATAAAAGGTTAAATTTCAACAAAACATATAGAAATGAAACATTGTTTAAAGTTCATTCAGAACCTAACCAATATGGAAACAAACCTACTTTTGTTTCTGCAGACTATGGAACTACAATGAGATGGGGTCATAAAGCTAATCCGGATAGGTGGTTCATAAACTTACAACCACAATTCCAAGAAGTTGTAGACGCAATGGAAGTGAATGGTGAACCAGATATAGCTGGTATTTTCAGCGCGGCTTTAATGCCATTGAAAGATATGAAACATGCAGATATTTTGGACCAGTATGAAATGAACATGGCTGATGGAAATATAACACCTGACGTTCTAGAACATTTATCTCAAAGAACTACACAGAACCATAGAGATGGTATATTTGGTGAAGAGTTTAGAAAGAAAGTTAGGGAGAGAGAAGGAAGAGAACCTATTGTACATGACCTTGCAAACGAAAGTTTACAAAATGTCATAAAAACTTACTTTGCAGACAATGAACCGAGAAGGGATGAATATTTAAGAAAACTCAAATGGACAGTACCAAATGAAATGTTAGTATTGAAAAACATGTTCCTTGACAAAATAAAACCAACTACAGAAATAAATGACGCAAGACTGAAACATTGGGTAAAAGCTTTCCCATTCACAAAAGATATTATTGGTAACATGGAAAGAAAACCAGAATGGCTACAAAAACATATATTTGGAAACGAGCTTATTCCATATGGACAAGCTCTGTTTGAAGAGCTTGAACCGGAAACTCAGGAAAGAGTCATGCAAACAATACGCGAAGACTCAAATACAAACTATGACAAAATCTTTCTAGGATATAGGTTACCTGAGATGGGCGACCAGAGCCCAAAGGCAAAAAGGACATGGGAAATTTACAACATACTAGGTGAACATGAGGCAAAGATGCAACGACTTGAAGCAGAGGGCAAGTTACCAAAAGCGACACCAAAGAAGAAGAGTAGAACAAAGTGAAAGTAGTGAAGAAGTAACTTCATCTAGTGAAAGTAGTGGCAATGAAGGAAAAAGAAGAGTTAAAAACTCAGTCAGGAAGAAAGTAAAGCTTGGTACGAAACAATTATGACAAATAAATTCAACTATTCTATATTTTTACCCATATGAAATGTACGCCGCTCAGAATATAACGCCAACAGTTTTGGATGCCATGAACGGAAATGTTTCCGAATGGTATAACGAATGCGACAATGCCATTAGAAGGTCAGAAATAGTTCCTGGAACTTACGAATATACAACTGCTGTTTCTTATGGAAACGTAGGTGAGTTTGGTGAAGGTTCTTCAACAACAGTAGATATTGCTTGCGACAGGTTTCATATTATTTCTATTGACAACTCATTCTTATACGTGGAACAAGACATTGAAATAAAACCTTCTGCCAAGTTGTCTGACAAGAAAGGTTGCAATGGAATTTTCTATGTCGGATACCAATATGCTCCAGAAGTTTTCATGGGATATAAGATATATTCTAACTCTGACTTAGTTCAAACAGTAACATGGGCAAACTATGAATGGTTCGCTTTGAGAAACTCAGTACAACCACAAGCTAGAGAACAAACAGACCAGTATGCAACTATTGAGAAAATAAGAAGACTTGACCTAACGTTCCAGGAGTTTATGTTAACCTTTCTGGACAAAACTGCAGCAGCAGTAACAAAGTAAAACTGAAACTTAGAGTTCCTTTGTCATCTTTCCTCATCTTCAGGTTTTTAAGATACTTGCCAAACTGGGCAGGAAAAATTTCTATTGAACTTACTCCAAGCAAAAATAACTTAGTCATTGCACCAACACAAGACCCATTCACTCTTACAGACGTAATGGGAACAAATAAAACGTCATTCGCCGACTTTTGCAAAGACAAAGTTGACTTAGACTTTGGTTTCTCAAACTTCAACAATGAAGTAAACTATTATTTCAATGCTACTGGAACTGCTTGGGACCCAGTTAAGTTCACATGCGAAAAATTTGAATGCAAGAGAATAGAAAGCAGACTTGCAGTCTATATGTTGGACCCAGATATTTCAAATGCTTTAGCTGCCAAATATATTGCAGTTCCACTTATGTTCCCTATACACCAAATATCTGTCAAAGACTTTGCAGGTGAAGTTGGAAACCAAAGTGCTGACCAGGTGCAAGAACAGATATTGCTTTAACAACTGCAATGAAACATGCAGATACTATGTTTGTACTGTTCAGACGAACTATAAATGACTATTCTTGTTTCTACAACCCGGTATTAAATATCATATAAACATAGATGGCAAATATTATCCAAGAGAAGAATATTCTACAGTTGAGGATATGAGGTCATACAACTTGACATTAGATGCTATGAACTTTAACAACAACTTCACAACAACCATTAACCCTGAAATGCAAAGTTCTATTATGCCATATGTGAAAGTATGGACTCATACAGGAGGTCAAAAAACTCAATATACAAATGGAGACCGTTCAAACTTTTGGCTTGGCATTCCATTTGCTGACTCAGAAGACTTTATGGGTGGTATTTCAACTGTTGGTACTGTACAAATACAATATACTGGTGACAGAGACGGTCCATATGAATTGAGAGCAAAGAAGTTTACAAAACCAATAGCACTTTTCACGGAAGATGCTCTTTTGAAGATTCGTTCGATGAAACCTGCTGGGGCTCCTCAGATTGGCATAACGACAGCTTCCATCGAGCAGATTTTGGCAGCAGGTCAGTAAGTTGTTCTTGAACTGACTTCTCTCCGTCAAATATTGACAGTACGCCAGTTTTGACATAATATTGTATAAACTTCCTTTAGAAATATCTGTAAGTTTTGAAGTTATATTTTTGTCTGCTTCAAGAACTTTCACCATTTCAGTTATACCAACTTTCTTTGCTTTATGAAAATATTTAGGTTCAGCAAAGACTGCTATTCTATAACATTTTCCATTGTTTGTATAAAGAACTATTCTGTCAATGTATTTGTATTGTTTGTGTGTGTAAACTTTGTTTTGCTTCAATTCAAAGAGATATCGAATACGTCCATCTTTTTATTCTAAGTAAAATGTCATTTCCGAAAAATAGAAGCGTGAGTGTTTCAAAAGGTTTAATGGCGGTGGCAGATGTGAAGTTAAATTCACCAACTCAAACAAACAGTCAAAGTGTTGTTGTCAATGTCAAAGACAGAGATGTTGAAGTGGGGAAACCATACGAAGACGAAGATGGTATACAATTGTTCCTGTAAAAGAACAACCAACATATCCTGAAGTTAGCAGAGACTTAAGTTCTGTTGCAGATATTCGAAACGACTACCAACAACTGAAAGACAAACTTCAAACTCAGGAGAAGATTTGTCAAGCTTTAAGTATAATGTTAAACTTGGTCGAACACAACCCTGTAAAGTGAACTCATATGTCATTGCACCTCATGAAGTTTTGAAAGAACTATTGAAACTTTTGACAGAGGCAGACGATATAAACATCAAAGAAATAGAACCCGACATTAGTTGCTGTGGTGTTTCATATAATGTCATTGACAAGATATACGTTATGAAAGGAGGTGAAACGTTGAACTTAAAGTATAGTTTCCCAGACGTCATAAAAATATTTGACGACCACAACATTTCATTAAAATTTATTTGCTAAGTAAAAATGTCAAAACTTCTTGAAAGATGTTTGAAGAAAAATAATATAGACTTTATTTCATGTAAAGGACTTTACACACTTTTGAACGATATGAAAGACCCTGTTTTGTTTGTTCGTGTAGACAAAGGAAAGTTCTATGTCTTTACAAAATATTTGAACTTCTTAGACAGAGAACTTCAAGAAACGCCATGTGAAAGTTTAGATGAAGTTCTTCTCCACTTTCAGAAAAACTTTTAAATATATATAAATGGCAGAAGATATAATGGTTTATACTATTACGACTAAAAACCCTGAGTCATATAATTCTATAACAACAAACTTACAAAGTCCTCAAGGACGATATTGTAAACTAACCTTAAACACAATGACGACTAAAGCCTGTTTTGCTCTTTTGACACCAGAAGACTTTATTGTTGTGAATGGTAAAAAATACTCCTTTGAAGATACTTACTCAGATATACCACCAACAGGTTTTGTTGACTTATTTAATACTTTAAGTACGGGTGTAACATGTGCTGCAACTAGAGCAGGTTTCATTATGTTTGGATGTCCGACTGAGTTTACTATAAACGATATGAGCTATAATACAAAACTTATTTCTGGTTTTTACTACCAACAGTTTCCTATAACAGGAAAAGGTGTCATACAAGGAATGTCTATTCCATTGACATTAAGCACACCAATCTTATATATTGTTTCAAACTTAGGTTCAAAGTGTTATTCGAATGTCGACAGAAACTATTATGACCAAAAGATACTTATGCGTATAAACAATACTTTCTCTGCTGGTTTGCCTATTGTTCATTCGAATGCAGAATTTTCAACCTTAGTGAACTCAAACACTTTGGCAAGTATAACGTTGACATTAGTTGACGCAAACTTTGTTCCTGTAAAACTTTTATGTCCTATGTATTTGTCAATGACGGCAGAAAGTTTCGAATTGGAAGATGCAACTGGTGAAAGTATTGTATTACAAGAACAACTTCAACAACAAATAGCTCAGAACAAAAGCAACAAATGCAACAACAAAGTCAAGAATAAAAAAAATATTTTTTTTATTTTTATAAAAATGTACAGAATAGATGTTTCAGATTTTTATGACTTCCAAGCATTCAGAAATATGTGTCCATTTCGAGACTATAACAAAGCAGTCGAGAATTTGAAACGTTTAGTCATTTATGTCGACTCTGCCCCAGAATGTTATGTTATGAAAGAATGGGATGTGTCTTTAACAAACCAAGAGCAACAATAGTTTCTGAACAAGAATGTAGACAGAAACTTAAGAAATAAAAGTTGGACAAGTTGGAATGAAGATGTTAGATGCTTGGGATATCTTATTGTCAAAGTTAGAAGATTTTTCAGTTCGAGGTATAAAGTTTTATACACCTTCTCCAAACTTCTATTCTATCTTCACTGGATATAAATATGAACAAGTAGAATGGAAAAAATATTATAGAAGCTTGGTTAGACCATGTCAAAGAAATTATATGCAATGGAAACGAAAAGGTTTATGAGTATATCTTATGTTGGTTTGCAAACATCTTACAACATCCAAGTGCTAAAAATGAAACTGCTCTCATTATAATTGGAAAACAAGGAACTGGTAAGAACACATTCTTTACAGATATCTTATGCAAACTATTAGAGGGCTATTCGAACCCTAATATGACAAACTTAGAAAACATCTGCGGTAAATTTAACTCTCAATAGAGAATATGAAACTTATAGTTTGCAATGAACTTCAAAGTATAGATACAACAAAAGTTTTGAACTCAGATGCTTTGAAGAGTCTTATAACAGACAAAGTTGGAGTTGTTGAAAAAATATAAAGACCAAAGAGTTTGTGAAAATGTTGCAAACTTCATTATGGTTTCAAACAATACTGTTCCGATGAAGTTAGAAAGTTCTGACAGAAGATATGTAGTTGTCAGAACGTCAGATTCTCATATGCAAGATACAGAATATTTTGACGACTTAGCAGAAACTTTGACATCTGACTTTTACAACCACTTGTTCTC